CAGAACTTCCAAATGACTCAGCAATTCCACTCGTAGGTAATACCCAAAAGAATTAAAAGCAAGAACTTGAACAGATACTTATACACCAATTTTCATAGCAGCATGATTCACAACAGTCAAAAGGTGAAAATAATTCAACTTTCCATCAATGGATGAAAGGATAAACAAAATGCAGTGTGAAAAAACAATAGAACATTGTTCAGCCATAAAAATGAATGAAGTCTTGTAAACAATGTATTAAGTAAAATAAGGATAAATACAAAGGAACAAATACCGTGATTCCACTTACATGAAATATCTAGAATAGGTAAATTCAGAGGCAGAAGGTGGATCACAGATTGCCAGGACTAAGGAAAGTAAAAGTGGGAAGTTACTGCCTGATGACTACAGTTTCTGTTGAGGCAATGAAATGGTTTTAGAAGCAGAGGGGTACCAGTGGCACACCTGTATGAATCCAATTAGTGTCACTGAACTGAACACTTAAAAAGGATTGAGATGGCAACTTTTATGTTATATATTTTAACACAGTAAAAATTATATAATTTCAAAACTTTTATAGATGAAAGGTTTAGTTTGTGTGATGCTAGGTAAATCTCAGCCTGTCCAAGCTTCCATTTCTTCTTCATCTCTAAAAAAGAACAAACTCAATTGTCAAAGCATGGGACCTAGAGTAAGTAGGGCACCTGACTAGAACTTCTAATGGGAAAAAATAGATCTTCTGTATAAATAAAACTATTTGACCTTTCATTTCCTTGGTTATATTAATTCCTAAATATTTATTTTTTATTGATGCTATTGTGAATATTATTGACTTCCTAAATTCTTTCTTAGTGAATTTATTGTTGGCATACAGGAATGCTGTTGATTTTTGTGTGTTGATTTTGTATCCAGCTATGCTACTAAATTGGATTATTAATTCTATGAGTCTTTTGGTGTTATTTTTGGATCTTCTGTGTAACGGATCTATGTAAATAATGATAATCTGACTTCTTCCCTTCCTATACATATCTCTTTTATTTCTTTCTCTTGCCTAAATGCTCTGGCTGACGTTTTGAGAACTATATTGAACAGGAGGGTGATAGTGGACATCCTTGACTTGTTCCTGATTTTAGAGGGACATCTTTCAGTTTTCCCCAATTTAATATGACATTGGCAGCATGACTGTCATAGATGGCTTTTATCAGATTTAGATATGGTCCTGGTATATCTATTTTCTTCAGGTTTTTAAAGTTGTGAGTGGATGCTGAATTTTGTGAAAGGCTTTTTCTGCATCTATTGAGTTGATCAAGTGATTTTTGTCCTTGTTTTTCTTTATGTGATGGGTTACATTTATTGATTTGTGTATGTTGAACCATCCCTGGATCCCTGGGATGAAGCCTACTTGGTCATGATGTATGATCTTTTCTATTTATTTTTTTTTCTTCCATTAAGTTTATTGGTACGTTTTAGGTATAAATACAGTTACATTCACCATTGGGAACTTGTACCTTTACATAATGTATCTTGGTTCTTTTTTTTTTTCCTCATTCCCCTGCCCTCCCTTTATCCTCTCCACCCCTCCCTATTTACAAAGACTTTGTTTACATTTTTTCATTTTCTCGTATTAATTCCATTCCCCTCTTTTCTTTCCCCTACCCCTCCCACTTTCCGTTCCCCTTTCCACCTTTTCTTCCTATTTCACATTATCTATTATACATTTGGATCCTTATTTACCCTTTCAGTTTCTCACACCAGAGAAACTATTCGGTATTTACACATGTGTGGCCCATTTATTTCACTTAAAAGTATCGCCTCAATGTGCATCCATTTAGCTATAAATGTCTCTAGTTTCTCATTGTTTATGGCTGAGTAGTACTCCATTTTATTTTTTTAAAAAAACAACACATCTTCTTTAACCAGGCTCCAGTTGATGGGCACTTGGGCTGTTTCCAAGCTTTAGCTATTACAAACTGTGCCACTATAAACATGGGTGCACATATATCGCAGTGGTATGATTCTTTCTGATCTTTTTTATTATTTTTTGCATTCTGTTTGCCAGTATCTTGTTGAGGATTTTTGCATCTACATTCATTAAAGACATTGGCCCGTGCTTTCTCTTTTGATTGGGTCGTTTTCTGGTTTTGAAATCAGGGTAATGCTGTCTTCCAGGAATGACTTTGGGAGTAATCCTTCCCTTCCAATTTCATTAAAGAATCTGAGGGGTATTAACATTAGATCTTCCATAAAGTTCTTCTAGAATTTGGCACTGAATCCATCAGAATCTGGACTTTTCTTAGTTGGTAGAGGTTTTTTTTTAATTACTTCTTCAATTTCATTTCCTGTTATTGGATTGTTTTGAGTTTTTATATCTTCTTGATTCAGTTTTTATAGTTCATATCTAGCTAACAATCTATCCATTTCTTCTGAATTTTCTAATTTATTAGAGTACCAGTTCTCAAAGTAGTTAATAATAATCTTCTGGATTTTGGAGGTGTCCATTGTGACTTTGCCTTTTTCATTTCTAATTGCACATATTCAGGTCTTTTCTTTTGTTTTGGGGGTTAAGACTGGCTATTGGATCTCTCTACTTTGTTGTTTTTTTCAAAAGACCAGTTCTTCAACACATTGATTCTATTGTTTTTTGAGTCTCGATTTCATTAATTTCTGCTCTGATATTTATAATTTCTTTCCTTGTACTAGCTTTGAATTTGAATTGTCATTGTTTTTCTAGGACCATTAGCCACTCTTTTAAAAATCAACCAAAATTTTATGTTTATCAATGAGAACCATCCCACAGTAAGTTTTAATTCCTAATAGTATTAGAAGTTGTCAATTACCAAACGGCATTTGAGTTAATAAATAGCCCCCTAAAATGTAAACAATTAAGAATAAGACATAATGGGCAGTGAAATTGTTGGGGAGGAGGTAGTGGTCATGAGAGAGGGGAGAAACACTATAAACAAATTGAGCAGTGGTTGCTAGTAAGTCTTATGAAGTTGATAGATCACGTCCCAGCAATTAAGGAGCAGCCTGAGAATCCAACCCAACTCTTTAGATGCTCTTCATGATGGAATCCTGAAATCCTGTGACTTGCTGTAAGACACAGTCATCCACAGAGCAAAGATTTGGAGTATCTGTGTTTCAATTTTAATTGATTTTTATAAAGGAGGATATTGGATAAAATGAGAGAATGGTGAATGGCAGAGCAAAGGTCCATATCTTCATCTATCATATGCAATAAATAAATATATGGATTAAAACAAATAATTGATAATTTGAAATAGGAAGAAAAGGTCCAAAGGGGTAAGGGAAGTGGGAGGGGAAGGGGAAAGG